CTTTCAGTTTCTGCTATAGAGTGCAGACATTCAGTATATATTGAGAGGAGACATACAATGCCTGTCTTTCATAGCCTAGTTTGTTTCAGTTAGAATTAAATCTTCCATATCCACCTACTTTGTATCATATGTCAGGGTCTCCTTGTTTTTTATGCCTGAGTAGTATGCCATAGAGTACACATGCCACATTGTTTTAATCCACTCATCTGTTCTTGCACATTTGAGTTGATTCCATGTCCTAGCTACCTTGAATAATGCTGCAATAACCATGTATGTGCAAGTGTTTTTCTGACTGAGGGTTGTCCTATCCTTTGGGTAAATGCCCAAGAATGGAATTACTGGGTCATATGGTAGTTCTATTTTAAGGTTTCTGAGGAACCTCCATATTGTTCTCTACAGTGGTTATAGTAATTTATATTCCCGCCACCAGTGTAAGATGGTTCCCTTTCACTACAGCCTTGCCATTTTGATGATGCATCTAGACTCCAAAGGAAAAGGCAACATGACCTTGGGCACATTTCTGAACTTCAGTTTTCTGCTCCAGCATTGTCTGTAACATAATAAAAACATATGTATAATCTCTGTTCCTGTTTTCTGACTCAAAGTTCGTAAGTCCCTTGGAAACTTCTTACCTTCCTCCCTCTTTCTCATCCCTTGGAAACTATGAATCATGTACAGTCTCTATGACTTTATCTATTTTGGATATTTCACATAAATTGAATCAATACAGTGCATAATTTTTTAATGGCTGGTTTTTTCACTTAAAACAATTTGGAGACTCATCTACTTGTGTCATGTAGCAATATTTCATTCTTTTTATAAAGATCAGTGTTTCACTCTATGAAATGTGTTTAGCTATTCATTCATTGATGCACATTTGGACTGCTTTACCTCTTGGCTGTTGTGAATGGTTCTATCAATGTGTATGTAAATATATTTGTTTGAATATCTGCCTTTTGAGTATATATCTTCATGTAGAATTGTGTAGTCATGTGGTAATTCTATGTTTAATTTTTAAAGTTTATTCATTTTAATTCTTCAGAGAGAGAGAATGAAAGAGACAGAAAGAAAACCAGACTCCCCTGGTAGAGTCTCATCATGTTGTAATCCTCACCACTTCCTCACCTTTCAGCCAGCCAGGATCATAGTGCATTCTTATGCACATACACACACCTGATGCACCTCAAGTCAACTAGAATCCAAACCATAATCATTTATGCGTCCCTAGCACTGCAGAGTGGTACCTTGCCACCCAATCCACAGCTGGGTTTGTGTTTAATTTTTTGGAGAAAACAATACATTTTTCTACAGTGGCTGGACCATTTTACATGCCCATGAGAATGTATATGAGTTCCAATTTCTCCACATCTTTGCTTTTTATATTTTTCATCTTTTATTATAACTATCTTTTGAAAGTTTTAATATTTGGATAAATGTCTAGCTAAGTTCTATGTTCATTTTTAAATTAGGTTGTCTTTTTCATAATAGTTATTTATATATTTCCACATTAGATCTTTATAGGATACAAAATTTGCAATTTTTCCCAATGTCTTGATAATGTTCTTTTAACTTTGATGAAATCTAACTTATTTTTTCTTTTATTGCTTGTCCTCTGGTGTCATATCTAAGAATCTATTGCCAAAACTGAGGTCTTGAGGATATACCCTCATGTTTCTTCTAAGAGTATTATGATTTTAAAATTTATATTTAGGCTATTGATCTGTTTTGAGCTAATTTGTATAAATAATGTGGAGTAGATCCCAACTTTATTCTCTTGAATGTGGATATCCAGTTGTGTTAGCGTTATAAACTATGCAAGGGGAGTAGGAATGAAAGTTTCGGGGGACCAGCAGTTAGCCTGATGGCTATGTCACTGGACTTCCATGTAGTCGACCATGGGTTGAGTCCCAGACCTGGTGGCTTAAACTCATGCCAGCCGTGTGTCTGTATGTGCCCAAGATCCTGAGAGGACAATGGAGGAGAAGGGATTGTGGTGTGGCCATTCCCCCTGGAGGGTGATTTCTTGCTTTCTGTCTCTCTCTTTCTGGTGAGCATATGCACCCTGTAGCAAAAACCTCTCCAAAAAAAAAAAAAATAATAATAATAATAAAAGTCTCAAGCTTCTAATCTAATCATGACTTGATCTTTCTAATAATCACCTCCCATTGAGGAGGTATATCATCCAGGAGTTATATCATTAGAACAAAGATGCTCTAATCACCCAGGAAATTCTATTTTTCATCTCAAATCTCATTCCTTTGGAGTTCAAAACATTTCTTCAAAGAAACAAGGCTTCTCCTGGGTTGCAGATTAGAGAGGATGTGCTTTTGTCCTGGGTTCTTATTTCTGGCACTAAAGGTTAGGAATGGGTGGAATTACCAGCACTAATATAGCATAAGAGAATGCTCCCCCCTCCAACTATTTTGTAACTTAAATACCATTTTCCTTAGTTAGACACTCTAAAATATCTTTGAAACTTGAATGATAAATAGAAATAGATCTAAATGCTGACATTTCTACCTATTTGGATGTAAGAAAGGTCTCATTTTCCTATTTGATAGATTAAGCAGCTAAAGCACAGTGAACTTTCTATTAGTCTATGTGTGTCTGTGCATGTCCATGTGTTAGGAAATGCACTATAACTAAGATCTTTCATCTTAGAAGAGAAAGTTCTTAGCTCTATGACTTTCTGCCTCTAGAAGCGAAATCAAACAATATAAAAGCTGTATTAGAGCCAGCAGGTGGTATAGAGGTTAGGATGTCTGGGTCCCACATGGCAGACTCTGCAGTGGACTCCTGGACCTGGTGACTTGAAAATCACATTAGGCGCATGTATATGTGTGCCTAAAATCCCACGAGGAGAATGGAAGAGAAGGGATTGCAGCATGGCCATCCCCCATAGAAGATTATTTCTCTCTTCCACCCCCGACCCCTGCCCTCTTTCTCTGTCCTCTCTCTCTGGTGAGCACATGCACCCTACAGAAAAACAAAAACAAAAACTGCCCCCCCCAAAACCCTCTTATCTCTTAATCTTTCTGTTTGAGAAATATTTCTTATCATGAATTGATTCTCTAAATACAGTTTCAATCTTTACAGTAAATTAAGCATAACTGCATAAAACATTCTCTTTAATCATTTTCTTACTTTGAAAGTAGCTAGTTATCTGGAAGAATTTAGCAAGGATTATTTATTTATTTATTTATTTGGTGGCTTTTCTTGTGCCTCTCTGCAGTTCATGTCTTTAAAGGGTCCAAAAAACACCCACTAAGGGTAGTTTTGACTTCCCTTCTATTCCCTTATATATAATTCACATTGATGTTCCAAAAATGCTTTCATGTGTAAAATTTAAAATTTCAATTATCAGCAGATAAAGACATATTTTGACCTGCCTTCGGGTGGTCATGCCAGCCAACAGTGCCAATAAATCCACTTCATAGAAATGCCTGTGCAAGTACTTAAACACTCTAGGGCATCTTGCTTTCTTGCTTGTATTCTTTTTTTTTTTTTTCTTTTTCTGTTTATAAAGTAGACATCATAAAAATTCATGTTTTCATTAAAAACGTGTCATAATGAACCCTGGTTTCATAATCCTCATACAAGACCTAATGCATCTGTGTCCAGCACTGTTCTAAACACTGCATATTCATCTTTTTTAATTCTAACGAAAACTTAATGAGATGAGACGTTATTTCCATTTCACAGATGGGAAAACTAAATTTTAAAACAATTAAGTAACTTTTCAAAGTTGACATAGTTACTACTATGTGGTGGTAAGATGAACAATGATATACTAGGCAGATTGAATGCAGCATTTCAGTTTCTACTGCAGCTTCAATTGAACTAGATGACTGAGGGTTTGATTATGAAGAAAAAAACATTAAAATGAAGAATATTCTGGAAGTACATTGTTGAAGAGGAAAGATATAACTGGAAGTGATATATGTTTTAGCCCCTAAAAACTGACCTTTCTCATAACATATAAAGCTGGTTTTCAATTTTTGTGCATGCAAAATGTAGTTACTTGTCAGAAATCTACTATATAGCTAACTGGTTATCTATGGCATTCAAATCTTGTGCTATGGTTGATCTTCTAATTCTAGGCTCTGGAGTTCTCTTTCATGTTAATGTGTATATATGATGGTCCTTTCGAGTTCCACAATTGACAAAAACACACAATGACACATTGAAGCATACAAGCTATTATATATTTTCATAATATAGAACTTTAAGGTATAGTAATCAACAGTGGCAAAATATTTCTGTCTTTGACATTATTTTTTTGTGAGATCCAACCTGTAATTGAGACCAGAGAAAACAGTATGGAAAAAAACAAATTCATGAAAACAGGATAAAAATATCATGAACAGCAAAATATGTCTGAGTATTTAAAACCGTATAGAAAAAATAAATTAGATGAACAATTGTGTAAATATAAATTAAAAAAGATGACATTCTTAATAAATAAAGTTTACTATTTACATTTTTATATATTGCTGAAAGATTTAACTTAGATCCATAAAAACACAAAAACAGGAAAAAAATAAACCAAAATAGGAGCAGCAAATTTATGCGCGTGAGGTACAGAAGAAGGATTGGAATTGTGTTTAATTTTTGGTGTTTAGATGGTTTTCTTTCTTTTTTTCTTTTTTCTTTTTTTACAGTAGGCCAGTAGAATTCTCATGAGAACAGCTTTTAAGCACTTCAATGGAGAGTCATTTTTTGGTAGCTTCCAGAAGGTGCCAAACAGATTTCAACATCATAATTATAATTAGAAATACCCATAATAATTATAACAATAATAAAAAGGTATAATATACATAAATATGGAAGAGCAGTTTGTAATGTGAATACATTTTCTCTAGATGAGATCACAGTTTTATTTTGTAAATATTACATTTAAGTATATATATACACACATATATGTACAACTTTATATACATGTGCATATATATGTAAATTTATATTTATATATAATATCTTTATATAGATAGATATCTGTGGACAGGTTATTGATTATAGAGACCCAAGAAAGCAACTCAATAATTGTTCAAAATTCTCCTCACTGACTGCTGGTGTGTAGTTTAAGAAGCCCCAAGTTATTTGCACTCAGAATGTCGTATCTCTTCTAATGGAACACTGGATGTGGAATTTTAAGTCTGAGAAGTGAGGTGTCTGCCGAAGGAGAAGTTTTTAGAGACTCCCTTCCTCTATAAGTTGGAAATGGCCCAGAAGTCTTGAATAGACAATGGCAAACTGGCTTTTACACTGTAGGAAGGAATTGTTTTTTAATCAAATCATAGAACTAGTAAAGTCCAGAATAAAGGGGAAAATCAATTTACCTGAAAAAATGAAATACTCCCCAATACAAGTCTTTCTCTTAAGGTGGACTATAATCCAGGAGCACCAGCTTTTTTCCTCAGTATCTTAAATGAGCACTCCTCATCTGTCTTAAAGGCCAATGGGCCTGTACACTCTTGAAAAATAACCCAGAAGGATGGGTTGGCCCTCATAGATCACCCCAATCCATTTAAAACCCCTGCCCTCCCACTATGAGGTAGGTAAGTATTATTATCCCCATTTTGCAGCTAGAGAAACTGAGGCAAATGTAGAGGCAATTTGATAACTTGTTTTAAAATCACTGAGCAAACAGCTGCCTGGAGTCAAGAATTCTGGGTTCTTTCTACTAGGGACATAATTCTTCTCTTGGATAGTATGCATTTCTTTTAAAAAGCAAGCTATGGTAGAAATTTGGCAAAACTTGAATACATTATATAAGAACAGAGTTTTATTCATTTGCTACTTAGTTTTTAATGTTTGTTGTTTACTTGGTTGGGTGGTTTTGCAAAACTCATCAGAATTACCTGTCTGGTGATATAGCAGCTCTTTAGAAAATTGGACTGTGCAGTGTGGTTCTGAGTGCAGTCTTCTAAAGCCCAGTGCTACACTGGCAAATACAAACATTTTATAATGTGAAAAGCATGACAACACAATAGGTCCCACTAATATTTGGTAAAACCAATGTCAAACCCTCCCCACTCCCGACTACCACGGATTGCCACCAAACGAATAAACGAAATGTCCCCCCGCCCCCAAGAACAACAACATATTGAGGGGGAAAATGCCGTATTTCCTGGATCTACCACAATGTACAGAAAAGAACAGACAACATTATAAAATCCCACTCTATGTCTTCTAGGGAAATCTTTATGATTGTGTCTACCTACTCTGTAGAATAAACAATTTCCTTTAGGAAACATAAAAATAGGTTTTTTATTCTTAATTTTTAATCATGCATTTTTTAATTTATTTTTGATCTCCTTGTCTTCTATTAATCTCTATCTGTACAGCTTGGGTGCCATCAATTTTTTTCTTTTTATTTTCCCACTTGAAGTAGTTCCAGAAAAACAAACAAACAAAAAGAATCACAAAACCTCAAAACTGTTAACATGACTTTATGGTTTCCTTCCTTCCTTTTTGTTCCCTTTCTTTTCTTTCTTTCATCTTTTTCTCTTTCCTGTTTCTTTCTCTTTCTTTCTTTTCTCTTTTTCTTTCTCTCTCTAGTTCTTTTTTAAACACAGGTAAGACCTATAACAAATTGAAAGTTACAACCAAGTTAAATCAAACCTGGAAGGGAGGTAGCTGACATCTGTCTCAAAGAATTATATTCAACAGATAGCATTTAAGCATCAGCCAAAGTGGGACTAAGACCAAGAGAACTGTCTAGGCAGTGACTCACCGTGCTGAAGTCAAGAGCTGCAGCTGATACCCTCCATCTTCAAAGCCCTAGCATTTATGGCCGTTAATCCCTCCCTTCCTTAACATCCCAATTCACCCACCAAAACTGACTTTTCGACGACTGTATTCCCTTAGAAGTTTGTTGGCACAGAATCTGGGAATAATACAAGTCCTCTGGACAAGCAGCTAGGGTTGTGACTTGGAAAGGCTTACCAAAAATAGGGCTTAGAGAACTGCCCATCTCCTTTCTTTTTTGCTGCTAGCAGGCTAATACTTCTTCTGATATAAAACCCTTACATGTTTTAGAGCCCTTAAGCTGCTTTGGAGCTGCCTCCATGTGAGCACTCCTAAACAGAAGATGGAAGAGGTGAGACATTGAGTTCATTCCCGGGAAGAAAACAGAACGATCAGTGCATTGCACAAATAGAGCTGATCCTCTTCCATGAAGGGTTGAGGAGAACCTATTAATTACACTTTCCATGTGAGCATGAGGCTGACCACCAATCAAGTAGCTCTTTTGCCTAATTTCCTCGGCATATACATTTGTTAGTAACAGGTGTGAATGATAATACGAAGAAGAGTGCGTGGATCTTTACTCAGAAGATCTCAATCTGTGAGTCTGAACATAAACATCAGCTTCCTGGAATCTTGCCTCACCTGGAGAATGTGGGGAGAGTTGACAATGAGAGTGAAGGTAGAAAGAGGATGAGGATTGATTTGACAGAAGCTGGTGAGGTTCTTCTACGGTTCCTGCAATTCCACCATTGGTAATGTCATCTTTGGGTCTTCTGCACTTTTTGTATCACTACAACTGTTCACTTACGGGTGTGATTAAGCCAGTGGAAGGGATGACACTGTTCCCTTTCTTAGCTCATACCTTCTACATTAATACCATACAGGTTGATAACTCAGCTAGGGCAAGACAGGGACCTTAAGACATGGCAAGAGTTCCAAGATACTGGAGGGAAATATCAATGGGAGATCAATTCTTTTAATGTTATTTTAATTTTTTGATAAGGTTTGACTCTGATAATCATAGAAAATAAAAATGCCGTGAATATAAATAAGGTATAATTTTATAAGGAAGAAACATAAGGAATTTGAGCCTGGCCTTAACGTCGATGGTAGTCTCTCCATGCTAGAACCCAGCTCCAGAGTTGTAATTGGTACAAGCCCCATAAACTATCTGAGCACATGCACCTTTATTTGTGGGCACCTATGCTAAGAGCACCTTGATATATTTCTTAATATAAGACCACAGATGGCCAATAGATGTCTTCTCGAGTGTTTTTGGTCACCAAGTAATTGCTGTTGAAAATAATATAGTGGGATGGTTTCTGAATTTGTTTTTGGTCCTAATTAGAAAAAGAACCATGATGAATTAATAATGCCTGCCTTGGATATAGGAATTAGGAAAGTACACAGGTATTTGCATTCCTGTGCCAGACTGTTTTTCTTCTTTTTCTTCACTAGACATGAGATGACTTGATTTATAGTAAACTTTATGTAATATAACTAGTTTAGACCCTATCATCTCATTTTCCCACTCCAGGTTCAGAAAATATGTCTTACTTAACTTCCCCCTCCCCCACACTTCATCATAGATTAATCTCCTTCCATATTAACTAAAAGGGAGAGGAGGTAATGGAATAAAAAGAGGCAAAGAGGCCCCCAAGGAGGTGAGAGCCAATACATATCATTGATTAATTCCCTCTAAACTTTTGGAGGCTGACCTTGGGAGAGAGAGAAGGCTTGCCCAACAACAGGTATGGTAGGAAGTATTGGTAACTGAAAAGGTATATGGAAAACATGATGACCATGTCAGGTTGTGGGTACTGGGGCTGTGAACTCTTTGGCTTCTCTCTGATGGTCCTCTTTAACACCATCTATATTGATCATATCCAAGATGATTCTCTGTTTCAGAATTGTATCTACCCAGATCAACAGTGAGGTTCTCAGGAGCAAAGCCTACTTAAGCCTAAAGGGCTAGGAAGACAAAGATAAAAATGATTAATTTAAAAGTTTCAACCATTCCAACAGTCTCTGAATGGCTTGAAGATCATGGAAATTGAACACTGTTCCACTTGATTATAAAATCTAACACTGGCTTAGACATTCTAGACTCTCAGTGAGGATTCCAGCATCTGAAGACCCTCAACTCCTTTCCAGGATGAGAAACCCACGTTCAGGTGACTTAACTTCTCAACATGTGGGCCAACTGGGCTTCTTCTCTCACAGACGGGATAGGAAATGAGGGACTGTGGACAAATGTGGGTCACTTTTAAGGCAGACTGCTTGGTTGTGTGGGGTTTTTCCTAACCTAGTTCTACCTTCTTGGGGTAACAATATGTAGGATAGAGCAGCAAGAAAAGTAGCAGCAATTGTGGTCCCAAGGCAAGATTTGAGGAATGGGTGGGTTCTGGAAGGATATTATGACCTCAAGCCTCAAGCAGGGGGCTGGTATAATACCTTGACATTGCAGTCCTAAGCCATTTCCAGTTTGGCCTTGAACCCTGGAGTTGGGGTAAAATCCCCATGGCAGCGGAAATTGGGATCTTGGGTAAAGATACCTTTGATTCTTTATCTCTTCCTGGGTCCTGCTTCCCTAGAAGACCATTTCACTTCCAACCCCCAAAAGCTGCACAAGTATGCATGCCTATGTATTCCGAGCCTCAGGGTGTGAGATATCTTGGCATCTTAACACTTGGTCTTAGCAGTTTCTGCATCTCTCTTTCTCCCAAAGAGTGTTGGCTAGGAGCGGGGGAAAGGAAAGATTGATTCTGTTCCAGTCTCTCTCTGCTCAGTCTCCAGAACTGCCCTCACACAGGTGTTTGTATGGGTGCGTATGCATGCATGTTTACTAACCGCAGATGTGTACACTCCTAGATACAGAACAAGTTTCTTGCTGTGGTTGTGTGGCAAATGGTTAGAATTCTAGGAGGCTCCGGGATTACACACTGTATGCAATCCATCTTAGATTTTGGGTAGGATTCCATTCCATCATTCTGCATGGCGAGACTTTGTTCATTCGCCCTACTGTGAGTCCTTTCTGGGTGAAATTAAAGGCAGACCGGTTGGGTGCTAAGGATCCCTGGTGTGGAGAGGCCATTCCATTGAGCAGCTGACTGTGAAATCAATACCAAAGGGATGCGGGTCCTGGCGCTGGGAATTCTTTGACAGCTCCTTGTCCTTCTTTAGCCATGGCTGTACCCCCGGAGGTCTTTTCGGCTGTGTTCTTGGGCCTGGGGGTCCCGACAAGCACAGTCACCTTGTAAGTCACAGGACATAGGAAAAGGGGTGACCTGCAGAGAGGAAGAGAAGAGTACATTGAGTGGTTTTGTCTGAAGCAGCAATTATCAGAAAGGCAGCACAGGGCATGGGTACAACCATTGCATTTGGAAAGCAGGAGGAAGTCAACTTCAAGTCATAGGTCTATTCTTGCTTACATAGAAATTTTCATCAAGGGCACTATGGTTATTATCATAGCAGTTGCTATTTGCAGAGGCATTTGTTATGGGTCAGGCAATGTGCTGAATACTTTCCAGTCAAGAAAACACTGAACCCTTTTGACAACTTTGTAAGATAGATACTAGGAAAACTGGCTCAGAAAGGGAAAGATATTTGGCCAAAGTAGTAAGTGACACATTTGATATCTAAAGCAAGGAAGGTTACTTCTCTTTGAATCTCATGTGGTACTAGTATCCTAAACCTATTTTGTACTGTAAACTCTTAAGAGCTGAGTAAAATCATGGGTGAAAAATTGTAGTATATCAATGCTGGTTAGTAAATTGTATGATGGACTGTCTAATATACAGGACTGTTGTGATCAAATGAAGTAAAGAACATGAAAATGTTTTTGGTCACCGAGTGGAAACATAACTCTCTGAATATGCTGGTAAACATAACTCTCTGAATATGCTGGTAATTTTGATTTGGGGAAGAAATCATGAAAATGACAGTATGTCTCAAACATTCTCGGACGGTCGGTCTTCTTGGGGCTGAATAGGGAATAATATTTGACGCACTGGTTTTGAGCAAAGTTTGTTTGAAAAATCTTGGAAGCAGTTTTAACAAGAGAAAAAGTGAGAGGCTTGAGTTCCAGTTCCCAGTTCATCTCTTCATTTGCTCTGTGACCTTGGGCAGGCTTTCCTTTCTAGAAATTCACAGGAAGAACCCAGAAGAGCAAGTGCCTTCCCATCCAACAGACGATTTGTCTTTCCAAAGAGCATAGTGCAGTCCCAGCCTGAACTAACGCAAGTTGATTTCACCTCATTGCATCATGACATTTGCATATAACTTTCCCCAGAGGGTCCCCCATCTGCGCAGATGGATTTAATGACCTCATTCGCCTCCTGCCTGGGCTGGGTCTCTAAGTGCTCACATAGCCTCAGAGAGTCTCTGTGTTTCTCTCCCTGTCTCTCATAGTCTTACACATTCATTCTCTATCCCTTTTTGGTTTCTCTCTGCCTCTTTGCCCTCCATCCTTCCTTTCCTTCTTCCCTTTCTTTTTTCCTTCTTTTCTGCTCCCTACCTCTCCACAACTTCTCTTCATCCTGAAATTTTGTAATAATTTGAAATGTATAATTAAACATCAGGGAGATTTTAAGTATAACCCCCAGCTCTTTTACCTACATAAGAGGTGACCTTGAATATATGACAATTTTTTTTCTGAGCCACAGTGGATTCATTCATTAAGTAAGAATAATCAAACTATGTACCTCCTGAGGTAGTGATGAGAAAGTAAGTGAACTAACTCATTAAAAACACTTAGCACAGTGCTTGACATATGCTGCTGCTCAATTTATACACACACTATATATATGCAGATGCAAACATATTATAAAGAGATGCATTTCTATTCATTTCTCCATCTCTTTCTGATTCTTTGTACTGACAGCTAATGCATCTCTTAGTTTCTCTTTTCAACTTAAGGTCGTAGGTGCTTGATGCTATGGCAAGCATTTTCCTCATTTCTTTTTCCATGCAGTACCTTCTTCTTTTTACAATTTGCTATTCCCTGTTCAGGATAATTACTTTCTAGTCTTTATACCTTTGTGGAATCAATCTAGAATAGTCCATCTAGAATCTGGGATATTTTCCCATAGCTTCTAGAATATTTTTCCATAATCTCTCTACCTTCAAGAGAAGCACGGAATGTTAGAACTAGAGGATACAGAGAAAAATGTTGTAGTCGAAGTGGGGAAACTGAGGACACAGCCAAATTGAAATCCAACAACTGAGATTGTGGAAAGGACTTCCATGGGAGTCAAAGGGCCTGAGCTGAAATTCTTACTGCTTCATACTCACTAGACAGTTTTGAGGAAATGTCTTCATGCCAGAAACCTTAGTTTCCACATCTGTAAAAGATTAACTTTGAAAAGAAAGACTTGGGCCAGCAGATGGCATAGCGGTTACGTTGCTGGACTCCCATATGGCCAACCACAGTTTGAGTCTTGGACACAGTGGCTTGAAAATCATGAAAGGCACATGCACGTGTGTGCCCAAGATCTTAGAAGGAAGATGGAGGAGAAAGGATTATGTTGTGGTCATCCCCTCGGGGGTGATTTCTCACTTTCCCTCTCACTGTCTGTCTGTCTCTCTGTCAAGCACATGTGCCCTAGGGCAAAAACATTTTTGGGGAAAAAAAGAAAAAAAGAAAGACTGTATTTCATACGATTGTGAGGATCTAACAAAATGAGACGCACAAATGCCTCAGCACGTGGCCTACCACCTAGGAGATGCTCAGTGCTGAGTATCTATGTGCTGACTCAAACTTCCCACTGACCCCTATTTCATCTTGTCCCCTCTCTTCCACCTTCCCGACTTGGACAGCTTCATTGACCTTACCTCACCCACTGCTTTGTCACTCTCCTTCTGTCCTTGCTCACATTTTATCATTACAGTGACTCTGTTACCTCTAATGTCTACTTTATAATTCTCTCTATAACTCTTTTTCATTGAACTCTAAGACTCACTAGGGACAATTTTCCATCTGCTTTACCTGTTATGCTTCCTCCTGTACTTTATACAGGAAAATATTCAACAAAATTTTATCTTTTGCAATGAAATCCAAAGTCCTTCCCACAAGTTCAAGGCCTTGCATGAGCTGATCTCCACATGTTTCTCAGACCTCACCTGCTTCCTTTCTTCCCCCCTCTCTCTAAAGTCCATTTATTTATTGGTTCCTCAAATACTGCAGTTGTTCTCTTACTTTGAAATCTTTAGCAATCAATGTTCCTCTGCCATGACTGCTCTCTTCTGATCAGCTCCTTTCCACTCTGCAAGTCTTATCTCAAGCATGACGACATTGGCTTGACTAAAGATGACTCCATCAACTTCATATCATTACACTATCTTATCTCTTTTTTTTTTTTGGTCTAAATAATTTCATCACTTACCTTTATTATTTTAATTTGACCAGAAAGATAGAGAGAAAGTGAGAAAGCAAGCCGCTGGGTCTGGGACTTGAACCACAGTTGGCTATGTAGGAATCCAGATTCCTCAACCACCATACCACCTGCCAGCCCTAACAGTATCTTATCTTTATACTTCTCTTGTACTGAAATACTTCTTCACTTGCATGTTGGTGCAATCTGGACTGGGCCCATATTTGTTGTTGAACTGAATCTTTATGTATGACATAATAAGCATTTGATGGACGCATGAATGGATGGTCAAATGAATGTACAAATATACAGGTAGAATACAATTCAGAGAGCCTCTGCTCTTATACTGACTGACTGACTCACTTTGTACAAGTTACTTCCCTTTTCTAGGCTTCGATTTCCCTATCTGTATGATAAGAGTTGATCTTCATGTTCCCATGGTCTCTAGCTCCCACCTGGCTAAAAGTCCTTCTCAGTCTGAGAAAGGTAGAAGGTAAAGCCCTGGGATTAGAAAAGTAGACTTCCCCACAGTCCTGTCTTACATATTTCTCTTTCTGCACTCTCCTTATCAACTTCTCTAAAATCATCAGTTGGGAAACCCTGCCACCAGCTTCATGAGCATGCTGGCTTTGTTGGAGTGGTGTCACCATTGGTTTCCTTCCCCTAAGTCAGCCTTGGAAGTTGCAGCATTTTCCAAAATAATGTGTCTAGAAACTAAGAAAAGGAAAGCCAATCAGAATATGGCAAAGTCTAGAAGATCTGGTCTCAGGAGTGTCTTGTCTCCACCACATACGTGTGAGTGCAGCTTGCGAGGTTATCACTATTAGCTACATATCTTGCAGATGAGAAAAACAGAGGTTTCAGAAAATAAACTTGCCTCAGGCCTCAATACCAGTCAATAAGTTGATGATGCAACATTCTAAGCCCCACTCAAAACGCTGAGAGCTTTTCAGCAAATGAGAGTGAAAAGAAGGCATTTTCTTCATAATATGGCAAGGCTGCGACTGCTGCTTTGTCCTTTTTTATATAGAGAGAGATTTTTGCTATAGGGTGTATGCACTCACTGGACAGAAAGCAAGAAATCACCCCCCTGGGGGGATGGCCATGCCACAATTCCTTCTCCTCCAATCTCCTCCTGGGATTTTTGGCCATGCACGTACATGCTCCTGGCATGAGTTTAAGCTGTCGGGTCTGGAACTTGAACTGCAGTGGACTACATGGGAGTCCAGCGACGTTATCATTATGTCATCTACTGGTCCCATGTTTTATCCTTTTAATAGGCAATATACTTTATCCCTTAATTTGTGCCTGGAACTGAGCTAAACTCAATTAGCATTATCCACTCATTTTTCTTAGCAACCCTAATAAGGTAGCTATTCTTAGTATCCCCATTTTACATCTCAGAGGAAACTAAGATGCAGAGGTGAGTAACTTAGCTGGTAGGTGTGGTGCGATCTGCACCTGTGTTTGTAACTACTGCTCAGCAACATCCCCCAGGTGACAGAGCAGGAATCAGGATATACTCTTCACAGAAGAAGAAACTGAGGCATGGGGAGAAGAGTGCCTTCTTGATAAAGTCAGATCTCTGAGTCCCCTTCCCGAGTTCCTGGACTCGCTGAGTAGGTTCCCACCTTCTCCCTGAGATAGCCTCCCAAGAAAACCTACTACCCACACTGTGGATACTGTGTTGGGATTTGGGAATTCCTAGCACCATGTGACTAGGCTGTCCCAAAGTAGGTTGGCCACCCACTTTGAGGTTCTGTCAACAAGCCTAGGTCATTGACTAAAAGAGGGGATTCTCTACTTTCTTTTTCTGGGCTGGAGATGATGCTCAGACATAGGGGTTTCTTCCTTTTGGGAAATGACCCAGGGGAGCCCCTCCATCTGCATATGTGAGCAGTTCAGGAATGCAGCTC